TTCTGCTGGGCTTGAACTTTTGGTGATCCTCCTGCCTCAGCCTCCCGAGTTCTGGGATCACAGGCATGCGCCACCATGCCAGGCTGAAGTTTGTGCTTCTGCTCTGGTGAAACTCAAGGCCCACGGTAGATGTGGAACCCTTAGCCTGGCCATGCTGAGGGGGTCCGCCCGCCCAGGGAAGCTTGTGGGCCTGAGCGCATCTTAGGTTCAGGTTTTAACCCGAGAATCCCTCTAGGTCTTCAGGGTCATATTTCCTAGCACTCAGCACTGCACCAGCCCTGGCTTCTCACTCTGGGGGCTGAGGCAGGAGGATTGCCAGAAGTTCAAGCCTGGGCTATCTAGTGAGTTCAACGCCAGCTTGAACTACATGGCAAGACCCTGTCTCAAAAAAACAAAACAAAACAATAGAAGTCTTGCTTATTTGTCCATTTACTTCTTTTTTTTGGTACCAGGGATCGAACTCGGGCTCTTGCACTTGTGAGGCAGAACCACTGAGCCAAATCCCTGGTCCCTTGTCAGTTTACTTTTTTACCAGAATTTCCCTTCAACTTTTCAGGTTTAAAAGCAGCTTCATTGCCAGGCGTGGTGGTGCATGTTTATATTCCCAGCTACTCCAGAGGCCGAGGCAGGAGGGTCACATGCTCAAGGCTAGACTGGGCTACATAGACCCTATCCCAAAAAACAAACACAAAAGTAACTTCACTTCCGAATATTTGAGCTGCTGTCCTGTGCAGTTCCATTTCTGGCATAGCAGAGTTCCCGCTGTGCCTGTCTGTCTCCAGGATGAAAGGTGGGCCTGCCCTGCAGTGTTGGTCGTCCTGGCCAAGCAGCAGCCGCACTGTGCCACTGTGCTGAGGGTGCAGCCTGTGTGGAAGGACTGCCTTTCTCTCTCTCTTTTCTTTTCAGTACTGGGGATTGAACCCAAGGCCTTTCTACTGAGCTACATCTTCAGTCCCTTTTTATTTTTTTGAGGCCAGGCTGGCCTCGAACTCAAAGTGATCCTCCTGCTTCAGCTTCCAGCATGCTGAGATCATAGTCATGCCCCACTTCTCCTGGCTCCAGTCCTTTTTATTTTGAGACAGGGTCTTGCTGAGCCGCTCAGAGTAGGCTCAAACTTGCAACCCTTCTGCTTCAGCCTCCTAGAGTGCTCAGATTTTAGGCATGTGCCACCACACTTGGCTCATTTGTTTTCAGTTTTTGTTTTGTTTTTTTGGTACTGGGGATCAAACTCAGGACCTTGCATTTGCAAGGCAGGCACAGTGTCACTGAATCAAATCCCTAGCCCTGTTGTGTTTTTGAGACAGGGCCTCACTGTGTAGTTCAGATTGGCCTTGAACTCACTGTGTTCCTCCTGCCTCAGCCTCCTGGGTACTGGAATTACAAGTATGCACTACCACACTTGGGACATTGGTTTGCTTAAAAGTTCAGCAGTATGCTTTGTAGGAATATGTTACCAACCGCTTACAATTGTCTGGAACACTTTATAAAATGGATCCCTGGGAGTGGTGGTACACACCTATAATCCCAGCACTTGGAGGCTGAGGCCAGGATCACCGTGAGCTCAAGGCCAACCTGAACTACAGAGCAAGACACAGTCTCAAAACAAAAACAAAAACAAAAAAAATCCCACCAGACCAAAACAAAATGCAAAAAACACAAAACCTGGGGATGAACAGAACCCCTGGCAGCCAGAGGTGTCTGTAGGAGGCGTCCTGGGGCCCAGGCTGGTTCCCTTGCCCTGTGAGTGTCCTGCTGATGCCCGCTCCACCTAATTGCAGTTTTCCTGCAGGCGCAGCCTATAATTCTGTGTGCAGACTCTAATTTTATGAGCTCACGTCACCAGTGCAATGCCCACGTGAGCTGTGGTTCGCTGAGCTGTGGCCCAGCAAGGGCCTCTTGTAGCTCGGAAGTGGGTCTGGCTCCCACACAGCTTCTGGAAGGCCCGGTGGATCCCGAGCAGCCAGTCACTGTCCTTGTCACGGTGGCTCCTGAGGGGCCAGGCGCTGTGTGGGCTGCAGGCATCGAGGTCTGGGGACAGCTGTGTGCCCAGGTCACTGATGTCCAGGCTGACACAGCTTCCTAGGACCGGGCTCTTGGGCCTTGTGCCATTGTATATCCTCTGCCTCCAGGCCAGGACTTGTGTGTCAGGAACTAAGAGGTTAAAAAATAATTCCCTTTGGGCCGGGGATGTCGCTCAGTGGTGCTGTGCTGGCCTGGCAAGCGCCAGGTCCTGAGTTTGATCCCTGGTACCGGAGGAAAAAAAATCCTTTTATTAGTACATGTTTGCAGTACCTAGCCAGTGCGTCCATCATGAGGGGTTGGTACATGGATGTTACACGTCTCAGTTCTTTTACCCCCAAATCTCTTGGCCCCTTCCCATTTACAAAAGGTCTGTCTTCCTGTTTCCTATTATTTATCCTTTATCTTGCTCTTTAAATTATTTATACTTTGGGTTTCACATATAAAAGAAACCATGAGCTATTTAAACTTCTATGTCTGATTTATGTCCCTTAACATTATGGTCCCAAGCTGCATCTATCTTTCTACACATGACTCAAGTTTATCCTTCTTTACAGCAGAGTAATATTCCATCGTGTATAACTAGCACATTTTCTTTACCCATTCATCTGCTGATGAACATATGGACTGCTGTTATCAACATGGCCATGCTTGGATCACCGTACTAGGATGTCCTCAGCTCTCTCAGGCAGATACCTAGAAGGGGAATAGCTGGGTGGAATGTACTTTCCAGTTTTAGTTTTTTGAGGGGTCTCTACACTGACCTCCATGGTGGTCGGCTGGTTTACCCTTCCACCAGCAGCACAGGAGTACAGAATCAGGAGGTGAAGTGAGCAGTCCATGTGACGCATTTGGAGAGTCATCCACCCATGTGCCATTTGGTCAGTGCCCGATCTGTGGGGAGGAGCTCGGGGTTGTTCATGGCGGGGCTGACGAAAGGACTTTTTATATCACCCAAGTGACAACCAAGTCGCAGGGTCCTTTTCAGCTTCAATTCTCCCTCAGCGGCATCTAACAGGTCACCTGGAGCCTTCCTTCCTCCCCCACCTGCCTGCCACTTGTGTGAACTCAGCCTGGGCTCCAGCGAGCTTGTGGGGGGTCGAGCAGGAGGACGTGGGGGCAGCCGCTCCTTGTCCTTCCTTGGGGGAACCCTGGCACCCAAGGGCTGGAGCCCAGCTGGCCCTCCTGGAAGTATTTGCTCTCTGCTGTCCTCGTCTTAGAGGGCATTGCTTCCGGGGACACCAGTTCTCCTCACTTTACTTGCTGTACATTTTGTCCCCAGTTTAAGGGGAAGCAGCAAGAGACAGGCGGCTCTATTTTTTGTCCTTTTTGGGGGGAAGATGCTGAGACTGAACCCAGGTCTAGGCAGTCGCTCTACTGTTGAGCTGTCACCGTTCTTTTTATTTTTATGCTTTTAGTTCTTTTTATATTTTTGAGACAAGATCTCACTATGTTGCCCAGCCTGACCTTGAATTTGGGGTTTTCCTGCCTGAGCCTCCCAAGTAGCCCGAATTACTGGCGTGCAGTATTCCACTGGCTTCATCCTTTTCAAATATGTAGTATTGCTGGGTGTGGTGGTGCACGCCTGCAATCCCAGCACTCAGAAGGCTGAGGCAGGAGGATCACCACGAGTTCCATGCCAGCCTGGGCTACACAGTGAGTCTAAGGCCAGTTTGTCTCAAAAAAGAAAAGTAGTATTGTGGAAAATTTCAAGTACAAAATACTAGAAGTAAAAGTAAGTGAAGCTGTGGGCAGATCAGCAGCTCCCTGTTCCCCTCAGGGAAGGTCACCTGCCCCGTGGTTGTTGCAGGAGCAGGTGAATTGCGCCACCCCGGCCCCTGGGCTCCTGTGTCCTCACCCTTTCCCAGCAGCCTGGCTTCACCAGTCCCCATGTGCATGGGTGCCACGGTGATGTGTTGTGACACAAAGCATGTGTGAATAACAAACGCCAATCTTTGCCATTTTTGCCTGCAGCCTGGAATCGTGTCTCCATTTAAACGCGTATTCCTAAAAGGTGAGAAGAGCAGAGATAAGAAAGCCCAGGAGAAGGTGACCGAGAGGCGCGCTCTGCACACCGTGGTGCTATCCCCACCCGAGCGCGTGGAGCCGGACAGACTGCTGAGCGACTACATTGAGAAGGAGGTGAAGGTAAATCGTTTGGCCATGTCTGTCACCCAATCCCTAGGGCATCCATTCCCTGTCCCCAGCTCATTACCCTGGGCCTCGTCCTCTCTCCCTGCCCCAGGACACCCTGCCCCTCTGGATTGCAGGTGCCGGGGTCCTCGGCCCAGACCAGGGGCCACTGCATGTATTGGGGTCACCGCCTGGGGCTGTGTCCTCTGACCCTGTCACCGCGTGACCAAGGCCTGTGCCCAGGAGGCTGTGTGTGAGCCACACAGTGTCCCCCCGGAAACAGACATGAATAAAGGGGTGGGAGCCAGGTGAGGGAGGAAGGGAAGGAGGAGACCGGGAAGGGACAGGAAGTGGGGTCTGGACCTCTCTTGGGTGGTGAGAGCCCCAGCCCCTGTCTGTCAGGGTTCCAGGGTGCATGGAGGCTGCTCAGGGATGCTGAGCGCCCATGCTGACCTGGGTCCCACACCACCACCTGAGTAGCCGGGCAGGCAGGGTCCCCAGTGCGTCCTAACACCCTCGGGGTATAGGTTGGGCCCCCAATGCATTGGGAGACAGCCACCCCAGGAGGCACACCTTGCTGTTTAGCGGAGACTGCCTCAGATAACACAAAACAGCGCCGAGGTCCACCAGCTGCACTGGCTTGCCCCCACTGCCAATGTTGTGTGCCGTGTATAACTGCGTAGGACTTCGCAAGGCTGCTGGCGCACAGTAGGTTCTTTATACCAGCATCACTGTGACCTGAGGAACGGCCTCTGTGGTGACATTGGGGCCATCACACTGGGATTGTTCAGCTCTGTTAATATTGTATGGGCCACTGTTGTCCATGCAGTCTGTTGTTGACTAAAGTTTTGGTAGGTGGTACGTGACTGATATTTTTAAAGACTGTGAGAGGAAATATTGTTAATGATGAAGTAATAGGATTCTACTTTCAAATAACAAAGAAGTGCAGGGAGGACTTTTTGGAATTAAATGTCTGTTAATTATATCTAGAAATTTAGAAGAAGAGTTGAAAGATAAAAGTTCAAAAAAAAAGCTGGGCGTGGTGGCCCATGCCTATAATCCCAGTACTTGGGAGGCTGAGGCAGGAGGATCACTGTGAGTTTGAGACCAGCCTGGGCTACCTACATACATAGTGAGTTCCAGGTCATTCTCAGCTACATAGTGAGATCCTGTCTCAAAAAACCAAACCAAACCAAACCAACAACAGCAAAACAAAACAAAAAAACAAAAAACAAAAAATCCCAGAAAGAATAATCAAAGAGGCCAGGTGGGTGGTGCATACCTATAATCCCATCACTTGAGAGGTTGAGGCAGGAGGATCTTTGTGACGCTACTAAGGATGTGTCACAGCGAGACAAAGGGCCCACCAGGGGGAATAGGAGGAGGAGGAGGAGATGTAGAGGCTGAAACAGCTCTGACTGGCAAAACACAAACATTTAAAAAGCCAGGAACAGGGCTATGGCCTCTGTCTATAGTCCCAGCTACTCAGAAGTCTGAGGCAGGAGGATCACCTGAGTCCAGGATGTTGAGGCCAGCCTGGGTGACATAGTGAGTCTCAAGGGAAAGAAATGATGAGCGAACCCCAACCAAGATAAACCCAAACAAATCCACGAGAAGACATGAGTAGTGACACATCTGAGAAGTAAAGATGGTGGGTCTAGGAAGCAGTGGGAAAAGCATTTTATCCATAGGAAAGGTGGATCAGGACACAGCCGGTTTCTCAGAAACACAGACGGAAGTGCAGAGCAGATCCTGTGGGCTGGGAGATGCAGCAGAGTTAGAAAGGCAGGAGAGAGGATGACAAGCAGCTGACACCCCAGAGCAGAAACTGGGTCTGTTCCCCCAAAGCACAAACTACACGAGTTACCTGACGAGAAATAGGTAACGTGAGTCGCACCATTAAGGAAATCTGGCACCTCACTTGCAAACTCTCAAAAAAGTCCCCAGGCTCTGGTGGTCTTATTGGAAAATTCTGTCAAGCACTTGAAGAAACCACAATTCCATACATTCTCTTCCAGAAAAGTGGAAGGGGAGGGCCAGGGATTTAGCTCAGTGGTTCCACTGCCTGCTTCACAAGTTGTGCAAGGACCCGAGTTCAATCCCCGGTACAAAAAAGAAAAGAAAAAAAAGGAAGAGGAGGGACATTTCTTTTTTCTTTCTTTCTTTCTTTCTTTCTTTCTTTCTTTCTTTCTTTCTTTCTTTCTTTTTTTTGTGGTGCTGGGAATCGAACTCAGGACCTTGCACTTGTGAAGCAGGCAGTGGATCCACTGAGTTAAATCCCCAGTCCCAAGTGGGATACTTTCTGACTCACTTGGAAAGGTACTGTTACCCCAAACCAAAACCAGACACAAAGAATATAGGATGAAAAGAAGCAGAGAGACAAAATTGCTTAGGAAAATATTAGCTAAGATTCAGCAGATTGTAAAAAAAAAATTATATACCATGACCAAGTGGAGTTCATACCAAGGATGCAAAACTGGCTTAATAAAAAAATGTAATTTATCATATCAGTCATTGTAGACAGGGATTTGACAAAAACCTAAAACCCATTGGTGGTGCACATCTAATCTTAGTATTCTAGGAGACTCTGAGGCAGGAGGATCCTAAGTTCAAGCCCAGCCATGGCAGTTTAGCAACTTAGTGAGATCCTGTTTCAAAATAAAAAAGGTGGGCTGTTGTTGTAGTCAGGGTTTATGCAAGGGAATTCAATTTAATACAGGACACAAAATTTATAGGATTATTTTATAATATTTACCCAAAAAGTCAAATGCAGAGGAGTGCAAGAGATTAGCCACATGCTAGAGACCCAAAGAGTCCAGCCAAGGGCCTCGATCCCAGTGTTGTCCCACATATAAGTCCAGCCAAAGGTTTAGAGTCCAAGGCAGTGTCCTCCACGAGTCCAGCCAGTGGCCTAGAGCCCACAGCAGTGTCTCATGCTTGTCTGTACTGAGGATCTGCACCGGGAAGGCACAAAGGCCAGTGGTGGAAGCCAGAAAACCTGGAATGAAGGATTTGTGCCACCAGGCTGAGGGATCCACACTGGAGCCAGGAAGTGATGCTCACGGTGAAAATCAGAGCTGCCCTGACGAGAACAGCAGCCAATCCCAGTGACAGGGAGGCCCCAAGCTCCTCTTCAGACGAGAACAGCCAAGTTCACACCAGGAAAACCACCCGCAACAAGCTTCTCCTGGAAAATCAACAGCACACAATCTTCCCCTCCAGTTCTCTTTTTATGGCCATTGGCAACAGTCCTCAGGTGGATCCTTCAACGCTCAGACTTTCAGTTCAGCAGGGTGTTCCAAGCTGACCGTTAGTTCATTCTCCACAGCTAGGGACGTAGCTCAGCGGGAAGGCCCTCGGTTCAATCCTCAGTGCCACAAAAACACACACAAGAAACCCTCAGGAAAACAAGGTAATGTATATGAACAATGAATGTATGAACACCGAAATTAAAATATCATTTACAGTTACTCAAAGAAGTGAAGCAACTTAAGTATAAATCTAACAAAACATGTATAGGGTTTTGTGTTGAACGCTACACAATGCTGAGGAGGACAATCAGAGAAGATCTGATTAAAGGGAGAGGGGTGAAAGAACTCAGAGGCCCCCCGCACGCTAGTGACATCCCTTCTTCCCAACGCTTGTAACCAGCCAGGGCCTGGAGAAGCCTGAACAGCCACGGGGCACCTGGGGTGCCATAGGTAATTCAGATGGTGCTGGAACTATTTAAGGGAACGATTTGCTTCCTGTTAAACCCCCAGCAAAGTCTCATACATATAAAGATTATTATTATTATTATTTTTTGTACTAGGAATCAAACTCAGGACCTTGCATTTGTGAGGGAGGCACGGTGTCACTGAGCTAAATAAATCCCAGCCCCAACAAGATTATTTTTTGGTGGGGTGCCGGTAATCAAACTTGGGTCCTTACGCTTGTGAAGCGGGCGGCAGAACCACTGTGCTAAATCCCTGGCCCATGATTATTCTTAAATTTATACAGGCAGGCAAAAGAAAGAATAACTAAGGCAATTTTGAAAAAAAAGATAAGCTAGATGTGGTGACATATACCTATCTATGATCCCTTCACTCGGGAGGCTGAGGCAGGAGGATCTCTGAGTTCAAGACCAGCCTGGGCTACGTAGAAAGACCCTGTCTCAGAAAAACAATAGAAAAGAAAAAGTGAAATGAGAGACCTCAGGCTGCCTGATTTCAGGATATTTCGGGGTGCAGCTGTGACCAAAAGTGCTGGCTGCTAACACTGGGGAGTGCAGCAGGGGAAGCGAACCCTTGGGCTGCAGTTCCACAGACTCCCAGAAGATGGCGCCAGACAGCAAGCCGCGACACGCGCCCTGAATGACCGTGGATCGTGGGTTTATGCGTGGCTAGAAGTCTAGAAAAAAAAAGAAACTGAACGATCCTGTACAGGGCTAGGCATAGAGTTCTTACAACCCCAACACGTAATCCATAAAAGAGGAAACATCCGTCCACCGCACACCTGACAGAGGGTAGTCTAGGAATAGCCCTCCGCTCCACAGAAGCAGCAAACGCCCCACTTAGAAGGCGTGCGGGAGACGGGTTTCAGCGCGGAAGGTGCATGGGTGGTGCACAAATGCACGAGGCAGGGAGGCCTCACGAGCCACGGGACAATGCGAATAACAGAATAACACCCCAGTGCTAAGGGCGTAAACCTAACAGATGCCCAAAACGAAACAGCGACAGCGCCCGTTCTGGAGGAGGCCGAGGACGTGATCTTCCACCCCCTTTTGCATGGGGGTGCTGGAGGGCGAGGCCGTGCTTGCTGGATGCCGCGGGAGGGTCCTCTAGCCCCTCTGTGACAGCTGCTGTATTGCAAGTTCGCACCGTGTGGGCCAAGGCGGGAAGGCGTGCAGAAGGCCTCCCTTTACTATTTCTTGCAATAGCAGGTGAATTTATAATCATCCTTTTTTTTTTTTTTCAATATGAGCAAAATGCCAAGAGTACCTTTTGTTTTATACCCAAGTATGTTTTCAAATTGAG